AGCAGGCTACATAAGGGGATTGTGCCCTGGGTGGGCTTAGAAACTTTTCTGGAACCTTCTTTTTCATGCTAGAATAAAGTGTCCAGAGAGGTTGCACTGCCTCCTGGATGAAATCCTATACAGGTTGCTTTTCTGACACTGATTAGAAGACCCCAGAGTACTTCACAGAACACATTGGCTAGAAAAAGCTGACTATATAAATTTTCCAAAAGCACACAATTTCCAGGCTTATTTTTAGATAGTAAAATGGTGCTGGGATTCCTACCAAAAATTTGCTCTTTGTTAATCAGAAGAAAAACTGCCTGTTGGACTTACCCAGAAGTGGACAGGACTCCTTTTGTGGTATGCCACAGCTGACACACTTGCCGTTCCTATAATCCCGGTAGGAGTCGCAAGGATACGCAGTAACAGTGCAGTTCTCTCTCAAGGAAGAGAGATACAGGTACACGGACTTCTGGTGGTCACATTTAAAGTACTGCATTCCTGGGTTGTGAAAGGAATGATTAAAGAGTAGAGCAGTTGTAGCATTTAATAATATTATATAACAGACGGCATGTATATACACACACACACACATGCAAACACAATTTGTCATGTCTCCTATTTACCAGGCACTGTACTAACAGCTTCAGTATATTCTATTCCATTCAATCCTTATAAAAACTCATAGATCAGAATTCATGCTAACAAGTGACAGGAGAAAAGATGACAGGCATGATTGTCCCCGTTTTATCTAGCAGGACTTTGAGACTCAGAGAGGTTAAATGACTTGACCAAGGTCACACAGTTATTATGTGGTAGAATCAAAACTCGACCTATATGTCCTTCCTTTGTCAGTGAAATAGAGAAGAAAAATTCAGTGGTAGTCAGAGATTCCCCAGAGGTTTTCAGCAGAAGACAAGTACACAAGTACATTTAAACTATTCAAGATATCAAAAAAAAGAACCATGGGGGGAGAGGGAGGGAAATGGTAGAGGAAGATCCCCAAGATGGGAAAGAAGAGATAGCTTTGGGAAAGGATGATGGATGACTCCACCCTGGGTCCATATGAAGTCACTCAGAAAAGGTCCCAAAGATGGGTAATCAATGGAGGTAATAGGTAAGGATCTGAATGGGAATTAAATCCCATGAAGAGAGGAGCTATGTCTATGAGCTAGTGGTTTGTAGAGGCACTGAATGCTGGAGTCAGATCAACATTTATCCTCTTATGCCCACTTAGGAAGCCAATATTTATTTATTATTCCTAGATCTCCCACTTGCAAAAACAATGAAGCTAATAACAATACAGAGGATGTCCTTTATAAGCAGAGCATGTTATCTTTGTCTGCTCCTGGATGTAGTTACACTATATCAGTGGTCGGCAAACTCATTAGTCAACAGAGCCAAATATCAACAGTACAACAATTGAAATTTCTTTTGAGAGCCAAATTTTTTAAACTTAAACTATATAGGTAGGTACATTGTTATTAACTTAATTAGGGTACTCCTAAGCTGGCCTTTGCTAAAAATGTCCTCAATCTGATTGAGGTACGTTCGCTGAGGTCGACCCTTTCCAACTCTCCCATCTACACTCGTCTTGTATACTTGTTTCAGGTAGATGAGCGTGGATGGGAGAGTTGGAAGGGGTTGACCTTAGCGAACATACCTCAAAACAATGTACCTCCCTCGAGCTGTGTATCCCGAGGCCTGCCTGTGCCACGTCTCCTGTCGCCGGACCAACCGACACCCCCCACTTCTTCTAACGCCACTTCTTCAAAATAGACTCACCCAGGCTGAAATCCGACTTTTGCACATGGGCCACGAAGTTTCAATCGCACTGTACGTGCGCGCCCGCACATGGTATTTTGTGGAAGAGCCACACTCAAGGGGCCAAAGAGCCGCATGTGACTCGTGAGCCGCGGTTTGCCGACCACTGCACTATATCACACAGGACCTACTTACCATTTATGGTACCATATGGTTGGCCCTATTATGCCATTTCATTGGGATCATTTTCAAAAACTACATCATTCCCATGGGGCCATAGATAGCTACCATTTTGTAACAAGATCATCTTTTTCTAGAATTATTTCCAGGATGTTTAACTTTCTATAGCAATGGTGAAATAAACATTTAGAACACTGAGGGATAGGTTTTTCATTCGGTCCCACACCCCACTTTTATGTTGTCCTACAACTACCCATTTTTGTTTTGTGAGTTTTTTCCCATTATAAAAGTAATATATGCTCATTTAGAAAATATTAAATAATGATGTGAAAATCTCATAGAAGTCTAATGTCTAGAGATCACCCTAATTATTGTTTGGATCATTTAAATTTAGTCTTTTCTATACTTACACCTGTACAAATATACATCCTACATAATAAAAGCCTAATATGCAAATCAAACAAATGGCAGAACAACCAGCAGAATGACGGGTTGCTATGATGCACACTGACCTCCAGGGGGCAGTCACTTAACACAGGAACTGCCCCCAGCCCGCAGACCCCAGACCAGCCAAGGTGGGTGCCAGTGGGGATCCCCCTGATCACCCCACCGGTCACTCCACAGATCAGCCCTGATTGCTGGCCAGGCCTAGGGACCCTACCTGTGCAAGAATTTCAAGCACAGGGCCTCTAGTCCTATATAATAAAAGTCTAATATGCTAAGTGTCTGGTCATCCATTCAACCAATCAAAGTGTAAAATGCTAATGATATGCTAAGGCCACTCAACCACTCACTATGATGTGCAGTGACCACCAGGGAGCAGAGAGTCAACCAAACAGTTGCTATGATGTACACTGGCCACAAGGGGACAAATGCTCTGACTGGTAGGTTAGCTTTTTGCTGGGTCTGGCCGATCAGGACTGAGCAAGAGGGTCTAGGCATGCACTGGAGCCCTCCCGTGGTCCCTCCCCAGCTGGCCAACCTCCTGATTGTGTACCAGTGGGGTCCGGCCTGCACCTTCTCACAATCTGGGACCCCTTGGGGGATGTCAGAGAGCCAATTTCAGCCTGATCCTGCAGGCCGGGCTGAGGCATCCCACTGGTGCATGAATTCCTGCACCGGGCCTCTAGCTTAAAAATAAGTTGGGATTATACTGTAGAGTTTGTATCTTTTTCATTTAACTTCATACTGTAAGCATTTTCATTAATCTCTAAAATATGACTTTTAACAATTATATTCCTTTGTGTGGGTGTACCATATTCATTTAATAATTTTCCTATGTTGGACATTTAGATTAATTTCTAAAAATTTAACCATTATAAATAACACTGTGTTGAATACCTTTGCACTTTAATTTTTTCTACATTTCCTATTATTTCTCTAAAAGAGATTTCTAGGTCAAAGATATACCTTTTCAAGAGGGACAGATAATTCATAATAGCTTTTAATCATTTGGTTATGGTTATTAACCAAATGTATATTTGAGTAATAATTATAATTTATAACATATTTATACCACCTCTACTTTCTCAGGAATCTTTTTTATTAACAACTACCCCCACATAGGATATCAGATTTTTAAAATATGCTTTTTAAAAACCGCTATTTTACAAAATATAAAGTATCTGAACTTACCTCCAAATATTGTTTTGGGGCAACCAGGTTGATCCAATCCTCCATTTGGATAGAAGTCTATGTTTCCTAATGGTTCCTTGTAGCCCAGTGCTAAAAGAGAATATACTGTGCTTTATACTGCTTTGAACTTTGCACATCTCATAGCTCATTTGCCTGCAGGATATGGGCAAGGGCTGTATTATTGTTGTTGTTGTTATTATTGTTATTACTATTATTATACCTACTTAAATATTTTGCCCAAAGTTAACTAGCTAGTTACAGAGCATCATTGCTGTACACACACACACACACACACTCTAATAGGAGACTATGAAGATAGTGATGGAATTTATTTCTGATATTTGTAAAGACATAAGACAGCTTGGTCACTCATTCACTGCAAGGCTGATAAAAGAACCCCATGAAATGAAGAGCTATGTCTGTAAGCTAGTGGTTTGGAGAGGTACTGAATGCTGGAGTCAGGTCAACATCTCTCTCTCTTTTTCTTTTCTTTTTTTTTGTTAATCCTCACCCTTACCCTAGGATATTCTTTCCATTGATTCTTAGAGAGAGTGGAAGGGAGGGAGGGAGAAAAACATTGATGTGAGAGAGACATGTGGATTGATTGCTTCCCACACACACCCCAACTGGGGCCAGGGATCGAACCTGCAACCCAGGAACCCACCCTTGATGGGGAATCAAACCCTTGACCCTTTGGTATGCAGGTCAATGTTTCAACCACTAAGCAATACCAGTCAGCAATACTTTTCTTCTTTACATTTGTCTGGAACCCTCTACTTCCTGAGCCTCTACTTACATTTGTGTAAATTTTTAATGAATAAGAAACAGGGGAAAATGAACTTTTACTTAGTAGAAAAAAAAATCTTTAAAAATTTGGGATCTAGGATGACAGAGATTGGAAACTCTTCCAAAAAACAGGGACCTAAAAAATTATCTATATATATTAAAGCCTAAGTGACCATTATGAGCGGTCAACCAAACAACTGGTCGACTGGTCACTATGATGTGCACTAACCACCAGGGGGCAGATGCTCAATGCAGGAGCTGACCCTTGGTGGTCAGTGCACTCCCACAGCCAACCTCCTGTGGCCCAGCCAACCTCCTATTGTTCCTCCCCCTGGCCGGCAGGCCCCAATTGCCAGCCAGACTGAGGGACCCCATCTGTGCACGAATTTGTGCACCAGGCCTCTAGTAGCTTTAATAGCTGCTTATTCTCTTTAACCTTGAGACCCCAAATAATCAGTAAAATGTTTGATTAAAAAGATTATTTATATTTGTATATAAATAATGTTTACATCATTGCAATAATAATAGTTATTATCTATTGAGAACCTGTATGTGTTTGTAGGCCTGATATGAGGTGTTTTACACACCTTCTAAGTTCACAGTGTCTGCAAAGTAGCTATTGGTAAGTTCAGATGAAGTAACCTACAGATGAAGAGAATGAGGCTCAGAGGACTTCAGGGACAAACACAACCCACTAGAAAGAACAAAATCTGGGATTTGAGTCCATCTCTGCCGACCACAAAGTTTATATGCTTTGCTTCAAAATTCACTTTCTCTACAAAAATAAAAGATAAATTGCTCTATCCCATCAAGCATTAAGATAGCAGTGAGGTACTGCACTTGAGGTAATACTCTGCAACTACACAGCAAGAATACAGCTGTCTCACAGAAATATTTTTTCTAAGGCAAACAATTGCTGAATACACACCAAGAAAGGTGGTCAAGGCTATTCTTTAAGGTGGTTGTATCACAAAAAGGGTGTACAATTAAATGATTACTCTGCTCTGTCCTCTCAGCCCTCCCCAAGTTCCTACTCCACCTCTTCCCTCAGACATCCAGATATAAAGACCCATCCTTAACATTACCCAAACCGCATGATGCACAACCAATCCCAGACAGGAAATCAGCACCATAAAAGCTAAAAATGGCCAGGAAGATCCATAGAGAGCTGGTAGTTCAGAATAAATCACTCTGTGTAGAGCTATAAAACACAGGACTATGTATTTCAGCTAAGGGGAATAATGAGAAAGAACCAACAAAAAAACAGGAAATCATGCGTGGAGATCCAGTTGTACATATGGAAACATTTGTCCACATGCTGTGCAAAGCAGCCAGTCCTTGATTGGCCAAGATGATCACTTTAAAAATAAGAAGAAGCCCAGCCGCGGTGGCTCAGTGGTTGAGCATCAACCTATGAACGAGGAGGTCACAGTTCGATTCCTGATCAGGGCACATGCCCGGGTTGTGGGCTCGATCCCCAGTGTGGGGCGTGCAGGAGGCAGCCGATCAATGATTCTTTCTCATCATTGATGTTTCTATCACTCTTTCTCCCTTCCTCTCTGAAATCAATAAAAACTATTTTTTAAAAAGAAAAATAATAGGAAGAGATAACGGGAAAAGCACTTCTACTCCAGCAAGCGATCCTGGGTGCCTGCATCAAGATCCACCGACATCTTCCCTTCAAGATGTCTGTGGATTTGGAACCCTGCCCCACAGGAAAAGGGAATCTGGAGGAACTTGATCTGCCCCTGCATGACAATCCCCCCAGGAGAAGACTCCACGGGAGCCTGGGTGAGGGGATCCCTGAGTCACAAGCAGGGGAATGTTACCATCAATGTCGGAATGGATGACGTCAACGAACTGTGCATCGCTGGGATCTAATCTGTCCTCGGGCGGTTTCCCGTTGAATAAAGGGCCAGCAGGGTCGAGGCCTGGAAGGAAAACAGAGCTGGTCTGGCAGCCCCACGCAATGAGTCACCTGCAGCTTTTGATCCCTCTCCTTAAAGAAGGCTCAAAGGCTGCAGGGCACCCCGGAGTGGGCAAGTGCCCACATTCCCATCCTGCTCCGTCAGGCTGCTTTCCACAACCCTCTAGCCTTTTCCCACAGTAGAGGTGGCTGCCCTGGCAGGGCCCCGAGGAAGGCATCCAGATTCCACCAGGAGGCCTAGCTTGTGCACAGCTCAGCAGCAGAGAGTAGTACAGACATATGGGGACAGTGGAACCTAAACTGGTTCCTCAGGAAAAAGCCCCGAAGGGTGCATATAAAAAGCAAACACTATACTTATCTTTATCCCATTTCAAATGATCCAGAAACTTCACTAAACCTTTTCTTCTTTACAGTTTCCATTTGTATTCATATATACCAGGTCAGAAGCTCCACATCACAAGCTTGTGAGGGAGGCAAGGTAGCTATTATCTTTCTCGTTTTACATATGAATGAACTGAGGTTCAGGGAGATCAAGTGTCTTAACCAGAGCTGCAGACTCACAATGCAATCACCTCTGTGGAGCTCTGGGTTTTATTGCGCTGAGTCTGGCAAGCTCCATAGGAGAGAGTGAAACTCTCCTGTCAGCGAAGGTATGAGACCAGGTATCGAGGAGGGAAACAACGTGGGTGTCAATTCCTATAGAATTGACCCATCCCATAAATGCCTGAACTGATTTCTTGCCCTTGGTCAATGTTAGCTGGGCGTTCCGCACCATCATTATGAAACAGCTGTAAAAACAAGACAGCAGCTCCCATGACGCTGTAACCACAAAATAAAAACTTTAAACTAAAAAACAAACAAAAACAAACACCAGGGGTTCCAACAGGCCCTGCTTACTAGAAGCCTGGAGTGAAAAAAGTTTCAAGGGACTTATGGAGGGTTTTATCTATGAATGTCATTTTAAATGACATCTCCCCATTCCCTGGTGTTCCATATAAAATCCAAGAGATAGCATATTTGCCTCCACTTTCCTGGGTCTAGCCTCAATTTCTCCATTTCTACCCTCTCAACACTCTTGCTTCCTTGAGGCTTATCTTTATCTGTTTTGTTTCCTTAGCTCCTTCTCCACCCTCACCCCTAGTTTTTCTTATTTTTCTGTCTGCTCCCAATGAAACTGAAGAGGGAGGAGATGGATGAATACCCAGGCACCCAAGCCCACAGATATTCTCAACAAAAAAAGGAGAAATGCATAGGCTTGCAGAGAGTTTGCTGGGGAAGCCTGCTCTGCACAGAAGACAGCACCACTTGAGGTGTAAGCAGATGAACAGTGAGACAGTGAGAGCCCAGTGCAGCAGCCTCCAGATCCATGGCCAATAAGTTTGCTCACTATATAAAGTTCAAATAGGGGCAATTTTAAGCGTCATGAAGGCGCTGTTAATAATTATATCAGGACCCAACGCACAAATGGGGACTGTCACAATAAACTTGGACATAATGCTCTCCTTAGTGATAAGCCACAGCAAATGATGAGTTTACAATGTCACCACAAATCACAGGTAAGCTGTACTTGGTGTGGGCAGAGACACTGGAGTCAGGTAGATGTAACATGGAGCCCCAAAACTAATGCCAACCAGCTGTGTGACCTCGGGCAGGTTACTTTACCTCTCTGGACCTCAGTTTCCTTATCTGCAAAATGGAGGTAGAATTAATAGCTACTTCAGAAGACTTATAAAAGGACTCCTAGATCTGAATTCAGACCATGTTGAGATTATTGTAGAATAGAAACAAAATGAACTATATTGGATAGCCCAGTAAACTCTTGGACCCCAACCACAGAGATTCCAATTCAGTAAGCTGACTTTGTGTCACCACTCCAAGGTGATTTTTACACACACTTAAGTTTGAGAATTAGCCCTGGCCAGTCTTGTTCAGTTGGTTGGAGCATCATCCCGTAAACTAAGAGATTGTGGGTTCAATTCTAGTCAGGGCACATACCTAGTTTCAAGTTCATTGCCAGTCGGGGCACTTACAGGAGGCAGCCAGTCGATGTTTCTCTCCTCTCTCTCTTTCTCTTTCCCATCCTCTCTCTCTAAAATAAATAAACATATCCTTGCCCAGCCGGCATGGCTCAATGGTTGAACATGGACCTATGAACCATGGTTCGATGCCTGGTCAGGGCACATGCCCTGGTTGTGGGCTTGATCCCCAGTGGGGGACTTGCAGGAGGCAGCCAATCAATGAGTCTCTCTCATCATTGATGTTTCTATCTGTCTCTCCCTCTCCCTTCCTCTCTGAAATCAATAAAAATGTATATTAAGATAAATAAGTAAATAAATAAACATATCCTCTGGTGAAGATTAAAAAAATTTTTTTTTCATTGAAAATTTAATGTATTATCAAGTGATGGGGGCACTTGAAATATTTTAAAATCTATTCATGCTCTGCTATCTTGTGTTGAAGAAATTAATGAGAAGTAAATGCAAGAGCTGTGCCTGGACAGGAAAAGCAAAAGGAAGGGCAGAAGAAAGAAAGGGACAGGGAAGAGATTTGGCAGCCATTCCGGCCTAGATAATTAACAAGCAGAACCATCCAATACTTGGGAGGTGGGAGTGCACTGTGTCCTTGGGTAGCAGGCCAGATTCCTACTCCATAATCCAGGGACCCCCATTCAGGCAGGACAGTGGGAGATGAGTGGAAAAGGGAAATAAATGCTTAACCCCTGAAACTGCTCTCAGGGACAGCTGAGATTGATCCTGGGGCTCATAGAGGATGAGGAATCAGAAGAATTTGGGGGAGTCAGTGGAGAAAGAAAACTGAGCTGCCAATGGCTGAGTCCCAGTCACAGAGCAGGGCCATGTGGACTGAGAGTGGAAGGAAGGCGGGCTGGGGAAATTTCCATGGTCAGAGGCCAGGTCACATTGCATTCACTTTCAAAGTAGTTGTGAAACAGGTTTGCTGGGAGGCTGAAGAGCAAAACTGGGGGTTAAGCAGAATAAGCCAATGGTGGTCTGGGACTAGTACTGGGGAGTAAATTTTGCTCATTTCTTCCGGAACTTTGTGTCTGTGATGCCAGGTTGGTAGTTTGAATTCAGATGGGCATATGTATACCATGGAAATCAGTAAAGGAGCACAAGCAAATTCAAGTCATCTGTTCTTTGTACCCATAGGGGAAAAGGAAATATTTGTTTAGGTAAGAACATGTTGTTTTCTAAAATATAGTAATAGTTGTAAAAAGTAAAAAGAGCTTTGCTTCCCTAAGAAAGCAGGTAAATAAGAAAAATAAGGGCAACCTGGTTCAGGGTAAAAGTAAAGTAAAAAGAATGTGACCTCAAGTACCAGCAAATGGAGAGAGAGAGAGAGAGAGAGAGAGAGAGAGAGAGAGAGAGAGAGAGAGAGAGAATGGGAATGGGAATTACTTGCTCAGGGCTACCTGTCAAGTTAAGTAGCACATTCAGACTTGTGACCCTAAAAGTTTACTTCCTAATCTTTTAGGGCCTAAGTTGCATCTTTTATCTCTCCCCCGCTCCTTATTTACCTCCCAGACTCGCTATAATTAAAATAGCTATCTCCATGTGAGCATGAACGCTGGGAAAGGGATAAATGGGAGAGTCTTAAGTTTCTGAAAGGGAACGCCTCCTTCAGCCCTCCGTTTGTAGCCCAGGAGAGTTACTAGCATGTTAGACAGGAGAACCCAACACAGGTTCGTTTGGGATTTGACCTGTTGTGTTGCTGAGTTTTAGCCTGAAAGCTAATATTCAGAGAGTAAAACTGAGCCATCAAAATTCCCATCTCATTTTCCTATCGTGAAACTCCTGCTGTGCCTGGGGACAGAAATTTATTAGGTATGTAGTTCACGCTATTCTGGATTAAATGAAAGGAAGAAGGATATCTGCCTGAGGCACAGAGATCAAATACCCAAGAGACATAGCTGTTTTTCTAGCCATAACAGAAATAAAGTCACTACCAATCTTTTCTACGGCATATGTAATTTGCAAAGTGCTTTGCATATGTCTTATTAAATAATAACCTGAGGTCAACAAGAGGACGTTAAATAATTGGAAGAAGATCTGGCTTTCAAGCCAAGGACTTGGATTGCCTACATCATGCTCCCCTGCCCACGCTCGCCACCCCATGTCCATTCACAGGAAGCCTTACCTGTAATTCTCCCCAGCTTCCCATTGTACTCCTCTCCAACAAACCCTGATATGTGGGCTCCTAGACTTACTCCAATCATGTAAATGTCGTCAAGAGATGCTCCTTTTATCTGGAATTTCAAGAGATCCATCATTATAAATTGTGGGGGCCAAGGAGTTGACAACATTTGGAGAAATGTCCTATCTGTTGATTTTGGAGAAACACATCTAAACACCTTATATCCATTATCTCACTTAAGTGTCACTACACCCTTGCAAAGTAAATACTATTCATTTGATTACACAGATGAGAAAACTGAGGCCTGGAGTAAAAGTGATCTGCCCACGGCCGGGCAGTGGGGAGGGGTCAGAGTAGCATTCAAACCAGACCGTCCAACTCCAATCCTGTGCCTAACCCTTTAGGCCATGGTGTCTCCATTCATGTTTCTTCTAGAAACCAAGCCAAAACATCTGTAAAACCTTCTCAGTTGGGGAGAAGGGCAACAATACATTTCGATGAACTTTTATTTATCTTCATGTTTGCTCAGTTAAATAAATTTACCATGGAGAGGGAAGGAAAGTAGGGTAGGAGTGGATCACACTGACCATAGTCTGCGGGGACAGCCTGTCATGAGTCGTTTGAATATTTACTTTTCCAGGGCTGTGGCTTAGGTGGGGAACTCTTATAAAACGTATGCCACAGTGACTCACTCTAAAAGAGTCCTGATACAAGTCACTTTTTTTTTTTCATAAAAGGGGCAATTCATGAATTACTTAATCGCCCCAGCCGGTTTGGCTCAGCAAACTGTTGAGTCACAGGTTCGATTCGGGTTGAGGGCACATGCCTGGGTTGCAGGCTTGATCCCCTGTGGGGGTGTGTGCAGGAGGCAGCCAGTCCATGATTCTCTCTCATCATTGATGTTTCTCTCTCTCTCCCTTCCTCTCTAAAATCAATAAAAAATATCTTTTTTAAAAAGAGTTATTTAGTAAGTCTTCTAAAGACATAAATCATACATACTCAGAAATCTCTCATCAGACCATGTAGATCAGTTTTGGTTTTGGACAATCTAGTCACTAAACTTCTGACATTTCTAGGAAGAGGAAAAGCTACAGAAGTTAAGGAAGATCTGATCATTGAAGCCAAGAAACTCCTAAACCAGTGATGGCGGACCTATGACACGCGTGTCAGAGGTGACACGCGAACTCATTTTTGGGGTTGATTTTTCTTTGTTAAATGGCATTTAAATATATAAAATAAATATCAAAACTATAAGTCTTTGTTTTACTATGGTTGCAAATATCAAAAAATTTCTCTATGTGACACGGCACCAGAGTTAAGTTAGGGTTTTTCAAAATGCTGACACGCCGAGCTCAAAAGGTTCGCCATCACTGTCCTAGACAGAACCTGTCCTCCCCACAGGACACCTTCACGTGAGTTAGAAAAATATGCCCCTTCCTAAGGATACTTCGCTGTCATTCACTGGAAAATTATTTTAACAAACATATGAATCTATAATGGCAATGATGATCCCTTCGGTGGGCGCCTTGTGCAGTGAACAACCTGCACAGCCATCCCTATGGGCTTTCCCTCTCCCTCCCCTGGGGCTTATGTGGATCTGCAAAATAGTTCCCCTGTTTACTGCCGGTACTCCTTGGCTTTTACTCTTCAGATAATGGGCCAGTTTCAATTTAGCCCCGAATCATCTAAGAGAACGCTCCCTTACCAACAGGTGATCGATAAATTTCTTCAAGACTGTTGCTACTTTTCTGGTCTTATCAGCAGCCCTGTAGTATAATATTGTTGTAGCTCCTCGATTCCAATCAACAACAACCACGTTCATGTCCTCTACAAAGAGCAAACCCTTTACTAAGTCCCCTATCCAAACGGGAGGGGTGCCTGTTGGCCTGAATCCATGGATAATGAAGGTGGTTCTCTTGGTCACGTTCAAGTTCCCCAAAGCGGTGGCGTTGATGACTTGTGCGCAGGTCCGGTCTCTCCTTGTATAGAGCATCAACTTTACCTGGAGTCCCGTACCAACCACTGCACTGTGGAAGCTCAGGTGGGTGAATGAAGGACATGTTTCATCTGTGTCTGAAAATAAAAATTAGATGGCATCGTGATGGTTCTTTACTTAGTGGGGCATCAAGTCCTATACTTGTTGGAGTTCTATGTGCCTTACGGCACCTAGCTATCAAGAGGCTAGATCTAGTTGCATGATGTTGCACAGTCATACCTGATTGAGAATTCATACATAGTGACTTTTTCACCAGGAAAACCATCTTTCCAAATTCTACCTTCTTCAAGGTCTAATCCCAAAGTCACCTTAATGAAGCCTTCTCAAACTCTCCCAGCTATAACTATTGTCCCTCATCCTGGAGCTCCCCAAACCCCTTTCTGGACCGCATTGACAGCACAAGGAAAATACTTTCAGGGGTGTATTATGGGTACTTATGTACATGTGTGTCTATCCTGCTAGTCTGCAATCTCCTTGGAATGGTGTCTTATAATCTTGTGTATCCCTCACTGATCCCAGCACACAGTAGAGGAGTCAATAACTGAAGCTGCATGGTCCAAGTTTCTCTTTCCTTGTCTGGAGCACCTGCCTAAGATGACAGCAGAGAAGGTGATGTGGCTTGCCACGAGCCCAGTGACATCTAAAACTGTTGACCACAGTGGTGTTGTTGGACCCTCTCCTTTCCTCCTGAAAGCACCACCTTCAAGCATTCATCTTGCTAAGTAGACTGTAAGGATGACCTTAGAGGAAAAGTTAGGGATGGGGAGGGGAACAGTATAGATGGACCTGGAGCATTTGTCATGGCAGAAAGTAAGGGAATGTTTAAAAACAAGTCACAAGGATACAGGAGCCAACTTGAAGGGGATAATTTGAACACAGAATAATTAAGGACATTAATGAAATATAGGCCTTAGGAAAAAATAGGAATCCATGATTCCATGCAAATAAACAAACAAATAAATGGAGGCGAAAAGAGGACTCTTACTTCCAGTATAAGGCTGCATGCCCACTGGTAGATGTGGAGTGAATGCTGGAGCTGCTACCAATCATTTTGCAATCATCAAAACAAGGACTGGTTAGGCAAGAATCATCAATGGGTGCTGAGCTGAGTGGCGGTGGGTTCTGAGGAAGCGCATGTGTGTGTGGTCTTAAAATGTCTCCCACAGATTGCTTATGAGTGATTAGGGACAAAGTAGTAATATATGGTGGAAAAACGGGACAACACCTTGACTAGATTGTCCAAATGAACACTACCAGTGAGGGGTAGATGGACAGCATGTGCCTCTAGCTATAATGCACTGAGAAGGACACAACATCACCTATGCAGTATTTTGGTGGGGAATGCATAACCGGAAACTTAGGAAAAATCAGATAAACACAAAATGAGGAATATTCTATTTCTTTAAAAAGGTCAATGTCATAAATCTCAAAGGCTGGAGAAATGTTCTAAATTGAAGGAACCTAAGGAGAAAGGATAAATAAATGCAATATCTGGTCTTGTTTGCATCCTATAATAGAAGGAAAAATACTATAAAAGAAGTTATTGGGCATTGACTAAATTGGGATATGAACACTAAGTTAGATAGAAGTTTGGTATCAATGTTAAATTAATTGAGATTCAATAGGGAGTTAGAAATAAACTGAATTCCAAGTTGCAAGGTAAGAGGGGTGGTGGGAAGGAAGGTGGCTTTGGGGTCCTTGTGTTAGTTTTGCAACATTATATAAGATCTTGGCCAAGAATCACGATCAAATAATAGTTAAAAGCAAACCTCTGCTCAACATTGGTATCCAGACATCATAATACAATTGGGAAGACTATTGTATTTTTAGCTATAAGAATTATTAAAGCTTTGTTTGACCCACTTTCCCACATGCTGCTTGGCTGAGAGAACAGCCGAGTAGGAGGTGAAAGGGAGCAACATACAATCCCCAGCTGCAAGTTGAAGATGGTCTGTTAGGATATTCAGGTGAGTCCTAGCCAATTTGGCTCAGTGGCCTGCAGACTGAAAGGTCCCAGATTTTATTCCAGTCAAGGGCAAGTATTTCGGTTGCAGGCGCCTCCCCGGCCCGGACCCTGGTCTGGGCATGTGCAGGAGGCAACCAATCTATGTATTTCTTTCTGTCTTTCCCTCTCTCTTCCACTCTCTCTAAAAATTGGGTGAGGATTTTAAAAAAAGAAAAGAAATAATATTGCCCTAGCTGGGTTGGCTCAGTGGATAGAGCACTGGCCTGCAGACTGAAGGGCCCTGGGTTCATTTCCGGTCAAGGGTACATACCCGGGTTGTTGGCTCAATCCCCAGAAGAGGGCATGCAGGAGGCAGCTGATCAATATTCTCTCTCATCATTGATGTTTCTATTTCTCTCTCCCTCTCCCTTCCTCTCTGAAGTCAATAAAAATATATTAAAAAAAAAAAAGAATATTCAGGAGAGGGGGGCCACACCCTGTGATGGCCATTCTTGAGGGGATGGAGCAGAAGGGGAAGACTGCTGACCTGCAATTGGCCAACAGAAGACAAGAAGGACTTGGGAAACATCTTTTCTGACTTCCTCCAATAGGAATTTAGAAACCATTCGCCCTGGGCCCCTAGTCTCAGGGAATCTACACTCAAAACACGAGGAAATGGTAATATCTGAACATAGTGGAATGGACCACTGAAATGACGGGGGAGTTTGAGAAGTGGCTGAGAGGAAACACCAAATCCCTGCCTTATGCTGGATTATAATGGAACTAGAGGAAAAGAGAGAGAGAGAAAGACAGAGAGAGAGAGAGAGAGAGAGAGAGAGAGAGATGATTATCAGAATCAGGTTATTTGTTGACACATCCTTCACTTCACATAGTTACCTTTGTCTGTGTGTGTGGCGATAAGCTTTAAGATCTCTCTTAGCAAATTTCAAGTATACAATACAGTAATTTAACTATAGACGCTACTCTGTGCATTAGATGTCAGAACTTAGTCATCTATATAAACATGTTCTCCACCTGTTAGCCCCTTTCATTCATCTCTTCCTGTGGATTGCATGCTCCTGGAACACATGGACTGAAACTGGTCTGGTGCTTGTAGATCAAGTCCCAGAGTAAATAATTGTTTAGTCACTTTATGGAACAGGTGTCGCAGGGTAAGTAGGGCTGGGCCTCTCGGTTTTGTTCCTGGCTGTGTGACTGACTCACCAAGTAGCCTGGGGAAATCATG